AGCTAACAATGGAAAGAGTATCAATGTAAGACCAACGACGGAAAAATTATTGATTTACAACTAATAATGAAGTAATAGAAATATAAATAGAAGAAAGTAGTAAACGAGTAATAAAGAAATAACATAATCAGACACCGATTAGATTTAAATGAACTCAAATAAGAAAAAAACAGATGACAACTCAAATAATCAAAACGCTCCCAACGCATGGACTGACAACAAGAATAACCCCGAGGCACCACACCTTATAAACCACAATTTCCAAATCTTACATATATGGCACCTCGTGCCCACAATAACAATTACCTTCGCACGGCAAAGCTCACGTACTACCATGTACTTTGCAACCGTGATAAATATTAATTTAGTTGAACGAAAGATATATTTAGATACCATAAAATATAATAACAATCTTGAATAAAGTAAGATGTCAAATGAAATAATGAGTTTATTTTACAAATCAAGTAAAGTAAAATAATATACAATTTGTATGAAACAGAGTATAAGATGAGTTTAGTTTAGAAATCAATTAAACTGAGTAAAAGTATCATTTTTAAACAAAGCAAAACGTAAGTTAAATTAACAAATAAATTATAGAATTTGTTTAAGAAAATTATGATAAAATTTTTAAGTAAGGTAAAAATCTAACAAGGTGATGAGTATAATTTGAAAACCCAATTATAGTGAACGTGCGATAACCATTTAGCATAATAAGGCACCGAGTGAGATAACTAGTTCTATGTTAAGAGGCACATAGAACAAATAATGTTAATAATTCTTTTATTTAAACCTTTATGTCACCAACAACTCAACAGAATATGATATAGTGAGTCCACGCAATTAAAGTCACATTGACAATCAATTCACCAAGTTATAACGGAGGCACAAATTGGCAAGTTAAAGAAACACAACAAATCACATAGAATGCATGAATCACACAAAAAACCACAATCGTTCCAACACCAAGATAACAACGAATAACCAAACACAATCAAAATATGGATGAATGACTGAAGGAAGAACAATGACCATTCAAATCAACAAGTTGTTCCAACATGGAATGTACAATGAAAATCACAATTGAGGTATCGCATTGTATTAACATTTTACAATTTCAATCACAATCTTTTATTATATCACTGCGTGATCTTTATATTTAGTTTTGAACATCATTGTTTCCGAAATAGCTACACGTGTTTTAGCTCACCTTATCTCACCGCATGTCTTCAAGTATTTTCCCTACTAGAAACACGCGTATCAAGCCCATCTTATCTCACTACATGCATATCAACATCACAACCCCTAGCCTTATACCACCGCATGTGTATCAACATCACAACCCAATTATAACTCGCACCACAAGTGCTCATATGCCACAACTTGCCACAAAGTCAAGAACACCAATATTTCCACAACAAATAGCCCATCGCTCAACCAAAATGTGTACAAGAATTTCAACAATAACAAAATGGATAGGAATGCTCAACAAGGTATCTCAACAATTAACAACTCCGCCTCAATGTGATAACGGCTATTACAACTTCAACAACAATAACTCAACAAGATGATTCCAAAAAATACCAACTTCAATTTAAAGTGATTCAATAATTAATAGGTAACAAGACAATAAAGAAGGCAATAACTTCAACTAAAGAGGTAGAACAAGTGCTAACCACGTCAAATAGAGCATGTAAGAGTATATTAACAATGAGAGATATAACATGTTATGACAATTCAATTAAAGGCATGGAAAGAGTCTAGATAATCAATACCAGTAAAATACCACATATAGCTCGTATACCCACTCGTAACCTTGCGTACACGGCTTTCACAGAATACAAATAGCGCAATCAACCCAAATCCTAAGGGGTAGCTTCCCCACCACAATGTTAGGCAAGATACTTACCTCAAATAGGCCAACTCAACTCTCCAAAATAGCTTTTCTCCTAAAAATCACCTCCACACGGCTCAAATCTAACCAAAAATGATTTAATAACATCAAACAATGCAATAGAAACCAATTGCAATAAATAAAGCTATGATCTTTAGATTTTCCTTAAAAAGTCAACAAAAGTCAACGTCGGGCTCGCCTTGGATTCCAAATCCAAGCTTACCCAAGCAAGGCCAGAACCAATTCAAGCTCACACAAATGAAAAGCGACTCAACAGAGTCCTATAGCTCAAGCAATTCACTAAAACATCGCTCTTGGGTGTTCATAACCGAAGAGTCCAAGCCACACTACTTGGGTCCCATATCTCTCGAAATACTCCTCCAAAACTCGCCAAATTCGAGTATGTTGTTCTCCTGATATAGGAGAACAAGACTCCAAAAGGAATCGGGAAATAAACGCCTCTAACTCATTTTTAATTTTTAAAATTTAGGACATAACTCTAGGTCTTGATTTAAAGAATTAAATGGGGTTTTAATTAAAATCATGGATTAAAGCTTAAACCAAGGGAATGAATCAAAGGGAAATACTTAGGTTATGGTTTAGACCTTACCCCATGGAAGAAACTTGAAGAACGTCCTTTAATTTTGCCAATCCCAAACTTTCAAGATGAGAAACATTCTAACAATATTGATAGCCAAAAATGCCAAGTTGTTCTACCTTTTTATTTTGCCAAATAATCCCGAAACTTGCTTTTGATATCTCCAATGGATTCCTTGTGAAATTCTAGATAAGTTAGGCTTTTGAATCACTCCATTTGACCATATAATGAAGGATATATATTGGTTTCAATAAATTGAAATAGTGCAGATTTTTAAATAGGAATTCAGTGACAATTTTGTAACTAATCTGAACAAATCTGGTAGCCCAATTCTTAGTGAAATGACCATTAATTTCATCATACGATGTCGAAACTTGAAGATTTCAGTTGCTAAGGTTCCAAAATTAGGATACGGATATAGTGATTTAGTCAAAACATGAAGTAAAAGCCGCTTGCTCAATATGTTAACCTTTATGCTCAAATTGACGTAGAAATCGAAAACAATCACCATACGCCTCAAACTTATCCAAAACTCATAGGAATTTAACCAAACTTTGTGGGCATGTCCAAAATCATCATACAATCTTATTGGAATAATTAAAAATTGATTCCGAGTACGTTTACCCAAAAGTCAAACCTTGGTCAACTCTTCTAACTTAAAGCTTCTAAAACGAGAACCATTCTTCCAAATCAATCCGGAACCGCTCGAAAGTCAAAACCAACCATACACGAATGCCATAATATATATTATGAATCTACTCAAATCCTTAAACCACCTAATGGAATGCTAAAGCTCAAAATGACCGGCCGGGTCGTTGCAGGCAGGAATCTTCCAAATTGAACACATTGAATGAACATATTTAGACTTATGCAGATTCTAATGAAGAAATATAGAAGAATTTAAAAACAAGGTCGACATAGTAGAGTTAAATTAACACAAATATTCAGAGGCATGAACAAAAGTAGAAAAATATAATTGCAAGGGTCTAAGTACTCACCAGTTTGCTGATTTAACATGCAATATAAAGGAGAAAACCAAGTGCCAGCAACAACTTGAGTATCAGTAGAAAAAAGACAACAACAGGTCCCCGAGCCCCAGTGCGTCAGAGTTCATAGGAGCTTCAGTAGAGCCCCGAGCAGTGCTCGCACTGGGAAGATCAATAGAGCAGATTTCGGAGTCCTTGGCTTTCAGCGGGCCAAAATTAAGAATTTCTGAATAGTTTGAGTGAGCAAGTGAGGGGGTAATAGTGATTAAAAGTTCATTTCATGGGAATTTGTGGGAGATTTTTATATAGTGTTGAATCAGGCGAGTAAACAAGGAAAAAAATCAAGCAAACATAAAAAAGGAAAAGAAAATTTTCACATGCAATTAGTAGAGTAACCAACAAAGGAAAGAAATCAAATTTCAAACCCTAATTAGGGTTCAACATTTGAAATCGGCCAACCGGTGTTAGAAATCAGGCCCCTTTTTCCATGTATATGGACAAAATATCTTCTAAATCTCAAAGGTTGTGGTTGATCCAATCTGATCTAGGAGATAATACTTGAAAAATTGGGGCAAATACCTAAGTAATACCACAAATATGTGACCAGTAGCGAAGGAACGTAAATATGGTAAGCACATAATGGGTGAAACCCATTATGAACGGTATTTAGAGAGGAGCTGAAAGGGAGGCATCTACGGTTCTTTAGAAAGAAGGGGAGGAGTTTGAGAGAGAAAGGGAGGCAGCTAGGATTCATCAGGCATCTTCTTCGTCCTAAAAATGACGTTGAACGGCCTAGTGAGCCACTCCAAACCTTCCCTACCCGCATTCTTCCAAAATTCCACAGGGATTTCATCTCGACCAATAGCTCTACCCATGTGCATCTTACGCATAGCCCTCTCGACCAGCTCTACTTTTATCCGCCTACAATACCCGAAATCCCGACGCATCTCAGAGTGCTCCAAGTCGCCCACCACAATGTCCCTATCACCCTCTTCATTCAGGAGTTTATGGAAATATAGCTTCCATCTTCATCTAATTTGAGCCTCTTCCATTAAAACTCTACCTTCCTCATCTTTGATACACTTAAGTTGATCCAGATCATGGTCCTTCATCTCTCTCACCTTGGCTAGCTTGTATAGCTTCTTGTCCCCGCCTTTGTCCCCAAGCTCTTCATACAAATGCCCAAACGCTGCAGTTATCGCCACAATAACCGCTAACTTTGCCTCCTTCTTAGCCCTCCAATACCCCTCCCTGTTCATCTTCCTCGCCTCGTCGTCCATGCTCTCTATAAGCTTCAAGTACGCCACTTTCTTGGCATCCACATTCTCTTATACCTCGTCACTCCACAACCAGTCATTTTTGTGGCCGCCAGAGAAACCCATCGAGACCCCTAACAATTCTCTCGCAGCTACTCTAATAAACTCTGTTGTCGTGGTCCACATACAACTCGTGTCCCCACTGCTCCTCTAAGCTCCTATAGCCAACAACCCCACCCCCCCCAACAACCCATGCACTTTGTCATTAATCAAAGCACCCACCTAATCCTGGGTTGACCATACATGACCCTCTTCTTCCTCTTCCTCACGATCTCTGAGTCCATCACAAATAACCTATGCTGAGGCATGAAATTCTCCCTTGCTATAACCTTGCAATCCATGAACAGACGCCTATCGCACTTCTGGGGGAGTAGATAATCAATTTGAGTCTTTGCCAACAAACTCTGGAATATAACCAAGTGCACCTCTCTTTTCGGAAAACACGAGTTGTCCATCACCAAATACAAGGCTTTAGCAGAGTCCAACAATGAAGTACCTTCTCCGTTCTTAACACAAAATCCAAAGCCGCCATGCACACCGTTATAACCCCTAGATGTTTCCCCAATCTGACCATTAAAGTCACCTCCTATGAATAACTTCTCAGTGTGCGGAATGCCACAGACCAACCCATCTAGTTCTTCCCATAAGCGCCTCTTAATCTCCTCATCCAAACCCACTTGGGGCGCGTAAGCACTAATCACATTTAAAGTAGACCCTCCCACAACCAGCTTAATAGCCATCAACCTATCGGTCACCCTTCTAACTTCTACCACTAGCTCCTTAAGATCCCTGTCAATCAAGATACCTACCTTATTCTTACCCCTCTTGCATCCTGAGAACCATAGTTTAAACCCATCAGCATCTCGAGCCTTCGCACCCACCCATCTACTCTCTTGGACACAAGCTATGTTGATCTTCCTCTTTTGGAGGATCTTCGCTAACTTTATATACTTCCCCGTCAAAGTACCTTTGTTCCAAGACCCCACTCTCGGCCTAGAGACTCCCTAACCACCTTTGCCCCCCACCTCACCCAAGGGCATGACCTAATTCCACCATGACTCACCCCAACCACTATAATCTAAGGAAAATTATACTAGAATTATCTCTAAAACAGACAAAGGATTAAACTAAATGTGGCAGGTCTAACACTTACAACCCTAACCACTATAAATGCATACAAATAAGACAAACAGACAATCAAGAATTAAACTAGTGATAACAATAGATATATAAAAGAAGGCCAACAGAACAGCCACTAAGAAATCAAATTACAGTCTAGAAATCCCTAAATAGTTACTAGAAAGAAAAGTATTCAGGCAAATGCATTAAATAGTTATAGGCAATCAAGAATTAGGCTTAAACTATTTTAAACTAATTGGTTACCAACAAGGGAGACAGAGATATTGATCGAAGAATAGGAGGTTCCAACTCCCGATTAGTGCGAAACCTAGGCTAATCATTGTAAATGTCAAGGCACGTTCTGATCCAGTAGTGAATACTTGCAAAAACAGAAGAGTGAACCAAAGGGGAAATAAAGGGAGGAAGAACAGAGGTATGCAATACCGCAACCTCACATCCGGGCTGGTTTCTGGTGGGTCTCTGATAGAGACACCGGCAATACAGTTGCTCGCAACAAAAAGGGGAAAAAGAAGTGACAGGGAAAGGGGAGGGAGGATCAGGGAGAGAGAAAATGAAAATAGGGAAGATACCACAAGAACCAAAGTGGAGAGAGAGGGGGAGAGAAGGATGGGGGAAAGAGAGGACTTACCTGGGTGTTATAGTGGTGCAGTCGCCAGTGGGGTCGGGGAATTTGTGGGATAGAGAAAGAGACGTTACATAGAAGAAATCGAGGTGAGAGATATGTTAGACAGTAAAAATGAAACAATGCTTTCAATAATATATTGTTGACACTAGATGACTCCATTTAAATATAATTATATAAATGGAGTAAAATATTATTAACTGTGCATATGGGGAATGATTATTAAATATTTGAATAATTAAAAATGCAAGAAATCAATTTTAAAAGCTTTAAAATTTGTAGAAATCATTTATATGACCCCTATAAATTGGGTAACTATGCAAAATGATATTTTGAAAGTATATGAAATACTTTATAAAGTGTGAGGGAAAATATGAGTATCAACAGTTGCCCCTCTTTACCCGAGAATGGTAAAAGAATTATAGGGTAAATAAAATGATAACAAATGTTGTTCGAATGAACGAGGATGGGGTATGAGGTGTTAAAATAAATAGAGGTCGAACCCTGGTTCTTGAGTTACCTAAGTATCCCTAGTACTACGGGAATCAGGCTGTGTGTAGTTCTGGATTCAATGACGAATGAAACTAATGAAGTTGTTGCAAAAGGGTCGTACATTTCGAAGAAGGATCTTCTCTGGGTAGGGTAAGTAGCGGATAATTTCCGGTGGGGTTATGAATGCAAAATTGAATGTTATGGATACACAAGACAATTGTTTGAGCGGTTACGGAATAGAGGATGATGAATTGATTATCATCGGTTACATTTGAGAAAATCAAAGGATATGAACATTATGAACAAAAACTGGAGCGAGAATTGCTCCTGTTTGTAGAAGGGTTACTTCCTGAGTCACCTGCAATACTGAATCATGATGCATGCAAATATATATATAGTTATTGAGGAAATTTAAACGTGATGTAAATTCCCTTCGGACCATGAGAGTTGTCTTTCGTACGATGGGGATGATGTCCTTAGACCATGATGTCCTTGGCCATAAAGTGTATGATAAGGGATTTGCAGGCCATGAAATGGTGTACTCAGGCCATGAGGATGGTGCCTCTGGATTATGACGCCTTTGAATAATGATATGCAGTTTCGAGAGATCCTCAGGCCATGGAATGATGTATTCAAGCTATGAGGATGATGCCTTCAGACTATGACGCCTTCAGACAATATGGCGATGTATCAGCCCATGAAAATGCAAGGTTGCGGCGATGTTGATTGCTTGATAGAGGGAACATGTGGTGCTTAGTCGTATGCGAGAACGACACAAGGCAATACTTAGCCTTGGATGAGATGAGGGCAGTGCTTAGCCCTATGCAAGTGATGGAGATAGTGCTTAGTCTCATGAAACATAATGAGGGTAGTACTTAGCCTTACGTAAGTGAAGGAGAGTGATTAGTCTCATGCAACATAATGAGGGTAGTGCTTAGCCCTATGCAGATGAATGCAACGTTTAGCCTTATGCAAGTAATGGAGACACTGCTTAGTCTCATGCAACATAATAAGGGCAGTGCTTAGCACTATGCAGGTGAAGCTAGTGCTCAGCCTTATGTAAGTGATGGAGACAGTGGTTAGTCTCATGCAGCATAATGAGGGCAGTGCTTAGCCCTATGTTGGCGAAGACAACATTTAGCCTTATGCAATAATTGAGGCAGTGCTTAGCCTCATGCAATGTAATAGAGAAAGTGCAGTCTCAGGCAAAGAAAGGCAATATTTAGCCTTATACAAGTGATGGAGACAGTGCCTAGTCTCATGCAAAGAAAGGTGGCATTTAGCCTTATGCAATGATGGAGGCAATTCTTCATGCAATGTAATGCAGACAGTGTTTAGTCTCATGCAAAGAAATGAGCGCAGTGCTTAGCCCTATACAGGAGAAAGGCGAAAATTAAATATGAGAAAGAAAAGTGATTCTTCGCTTGACACGTTCGGGGCTTGGCGACTTCTGTCGGTGTGAAGATTGTGGTCTTATTGTATACATTTGTGGACATGCTCATCAATGTTATGTACGCTATGCCTTCTTTCAAAGAAAAATTGTATGTTTGGGGGAAGGTTGGTTCGTGGTTTTTATTACTCATTTTGCCTCTTATCCTGTCTTGACGCCTTGCTCGAGTCGCCCAGTGTAACATCTGGCTATTACAAAAATGAGGTTTTTTGAAAAATATGCATTTACGGTAAATCATTTATAAATAATATAATTATTTTAAAAGATAATGCACAAAAGTAAGTAATTTGGTCAATTCATTGGTCGTGACATGCTTTGAGACATTGCAGCCTTTTAATCTCGAAATTTTGAGGAACCCCTCAAAATTCTGCCCCATTTTGATGTATACTTCTGGTGATACCCTTTGATGTAAATGAGATTGACGAAACTTGAAATCGTTCCTTGGTTTCAGACCGTAAAGGGGAATGAAGCTTTTATTATAATGTGACCGAACTCACAGGGTTGCCTACGTATCCTCTCTTAAATGGGAATCAGGTCAAGGGTAGTTCATGTTATATCAAAAGAATGTGTAAATACAATCTCTAATGTAATATCTCTTGTCGGCATCAATATTGATAGGTTTCGGCCATACCTCCCTATCCATTTCTGCAAAGTATGAGCACTCCTCCTGTTAGTACTCGGTAAACCATGTAAGGACCTTGCAAGTTAGGTGAGAAGTTTCCTATTGCTTCGTCCTAATGCAGGAAGATTCGCTTCAACTCCAATTGCCCCGATATAAATTGCCTCGGTCTAACCTTCTTATCAAAAGCCCTTTCCATTCTATTTTGGTAGAGTTGACCGTGACACACCACGTTCATCCTTTTACCATTAATGAGAGCCAATTGCTCATACCGTCTTTGTATCCATTCTGCATCACTGAGCTCGGCCTATTATATGATTCTCAGGGAAGGAATTTCCACATCAGCGAGTATGATATCTTTAGTAACGTAGACCAGTAAATAGGGAGTTTCCCCAATTGACGTGCAGATCATGGTGCGGTACCTGAGCAAAGCAAACAATAGCTTCTCGTGCTACTTCTTATAACTGTCCACCATCTTCCTCAATATCTTCTTGATATTCTTATTGGCGGCTTCTACGGCTCCACTCATTTGTGGCCTATATGTCATAGTTTTTTTATGCTTGATTTTGAATGTTTGACACATGGATTTCATTAGATCATTGTTGAGATTGGCAGCATTGTCGGTAATGATTGATTCAGGTGGTTCGAATCGGCAAACAATACGATCCCGGACAAATTCTCCTACGACCTTCTTAGTCACAACATTAAAGGAAGTGGCTTTGACCCATTTTGTGAAGTAATATATGGCCACCAAAATGAATTTGTGTCCGTTGGAAGCGGCAGGTTTAATCAGTCCGGTGATGTCCATGCCCCAGGCAAAAAAAGGCCAGGGTGAACTTGTTGCATTGAGTTTATTGGGTGGTACTCATATCATATCAGCATGCACCTAACACTGGTGACATTTCTGTACATATTTGATGTAGTCAGTTTCCATAGTCATCCAGAAATAACCTGCCCTTACTATTTTCTTGGCTAGAATAAACCCATTCGTGTGAGGTCTGTAGGTTCTGCCATGTATCTCTCCGAGCGACCTAGATGCCTCCTTGGTATTGACACATCATAGCAGACATAAGTCGGGAGTCCTTCTATACATAATTCCTCTGCTTTGATAGAAGTAGTTGGATAATCTCCGAAGTGTGTGCTGCTGGGTGTGCATATCATTTTCTGGGTATTCTCCTTTTTCCAAATACTCCTTGATATCGTGAAAACATGGATTCCAATCGAAATCTTCTTCAACATGAGCATAGTAAGATGGCTGCTTACGGATATCTATTGGGATGGGATCAATATAATTCTTGTCTGGATGTTGTATCATAGAAGACAAGGTAGCCAGTGTATCCGCGAACTCGTTCTGAATTCTAGGAACATGTTTAAACTCTATCTTTGTGAACCACTTGATAAAATCTTACACATAGTGTAGGTATGGCAATATCTGTGTGTTCTTGGTGTCCCATTCTCTGAGTACCCGTTGTATTAGAAAATATGAATATTCAATTACTAGAAGTTCTTGAATATTCATGTCGATGGCCAAAAATGCAAGCCTCGTATTCCACCATATTGTT